AAAGTTCGCGGTTCTTTTCCTGTCTACCTGGCCAGTGCATCTGAGTTGAGAGTGCTGTCCAGAGCGGTCACAATGGAGCACTCTGGGATAGCTCCCGGAGGCCAATACCATCGAATTGTGTCCACAGTACCCCAAATTCGAGCCGGCAACGTCGATTTAAGCGCTAATCCACTTGTCAGGGGTGGAGTAAGGAAATCGATTTTAAGAGCCCTTTAAGTCGAAATAAAGGGCTTCATTGTGTGGACGGGTGCAGGTTTACATCAATTTAACGCTGCTAAATTCGACCTAAAGTCCTAGTGTAGACCAGGGCTTAGATGCTCAAGTCCCACTGATTTCCATTGAGACTTCAGCTCCTAGGAGCCTGTCTCTTTTGGGACTTAAGTTCGGTTGAAAGCTTTTCCCTTTAGTGTATAGTACAATGGGAATCCAATCTGAGTTGGGGACTCTGTTAGGCACTACTCTAATGCAAATAATAAAATTGCTGGTGTTCAAGTGACATTAATTTTCTGTATTTCTAACCTATGTTCCATTGTGTTGTGTGTCTACTTCCCCATCAATCTTATGATCTCAAGCAGCACCTGCCTCTCAATAAGAAACAGGGTTCAGATTGCTTCTCACCTGGTAGAAAACCTCTACGTTCTGCACCTTAGCTTCGCCCTGCAGAACTCGGAATCTTTTGCTGTTGCTTGATACCCAACAGATATCTGGGCAGTTGAGATATCTCATGAATTCTTAGGTCTTGCTGTCTTCCTGTTCTGAATGTCTGTAGTAAATGCTCACAGTTCTGTTAATCATCCCTTGCATTATCTATACTCAAACAATTCCTTTCATCACACTTGATAACTTGGTGGCACCCTCCCACCTTCTCCTGTACAGATTAGTCTCCTCTTTACTGACATTCTAGTTCTCAGAATCATCCTGAATTTCTGCTGTGCCAACTTCATAATAATTGTCACAATTTAATCTCCGTTTTCTCTGCACCTGACATTTTTACCCAAATTCTGCCTTACATTATATGTTCAGCTCAACCCACAACCTTAGCACTCGCTTTCTGGGGAACACGCTTGGATTCACAGTTTGGGATACATGACATCTGCCAGAAAAAAAAAAAAGCATTCCTATAAATAGGAATGCTTCATTTTTATCTTTTGGACTTACCTTGAACGTTGTAGATTATTATTACCCAGTGTTGTTTCCACAAGTGTAGTCTGGAAACGTGCATGTCCCCATGAGCTAATAACTTGGCTCCTCCATTTGACATTGAGAGAGGACTTACAGAAGAGATCATATCCACAAAATCAGTCATAATGCATATAAGTCTTATCTTTGAGGCAAGAAACTAAATCCAGATAGTTGATAAAAAACTAAAGATAAACAGAAAAGGAGGACTTGAGGCACCTTAGAGACTAACAAATTTATTTGAGCATAAGCTTTCGTGAACTACAGCTCACTTCATCGGACGAAAGCTTATGCTCAAATAAATTTGTTAGTCTCTAAGGTGCCACAAGTACTCCTTTTCTTTTTGCAGATACAGACTAACATGGCTGCTACTCTGAAAAGATAAACAGCAGTCCTAATATTTTTCCAAGGACTGCCCTGTTCAAACCTCGCAGTGATCAGCAATCTTCTAAAAAAACTAGACAGATAATTTTATAACCTTAACATTGCAGCATCCAAAAAGGTTTTTTGTTCTTTCAATCCTGGTGCATTCCTTCTGCCTTGTCAATGCATGAGTCTTTGGCACTGATAATAATCTCTTAATATTGGGGAAAAACAAGCGCTGCTTTTGCAAATTTTTACAGATTGTGCTCTTAGGACCCTGGAAAATAGGAGTAAAATTGGATACGGTGTTTAGGAGATATGTTGCATCTGAAGAAGTGGTTTTTATCCACGAAAGCTTATGCTCAAATAAATCTGTTAGTCTGTCCGGTGCCACCAGACTCCTTGTTGTTTTAATAATAATAAATAATAATAATAATAAAAAAAGTGATCTGACTTCTTGAACTAATTTTAGCTCACCATAACTCCAAAATGGGTTGGCCTAGGAACTCCTCATTGTTTTAGCTTGTTGTATCTTAGTGAGAACTGCTGCCTTTGATTAATTCTGAGGAACATATTAGTGGAAGTTATTCAAAATACCATCCACCATTCCTTTTGCATTAAATGCAGATAGCCACAATGAGAGAGTGTGGGAGGGAAGGCAGCAGGTAGGAAACAAAGCGGTGTGGACTACGGGAAGAAACCCATGTGGAGCACTCAAATGCGAGTCTAGGACTGAAAGAAAGCCACATGGCTACATCTACAAGGGCTCCTGCTTTCTTTAAGGCCATATGCCAGCAGAGTACTACTGCATCTCTTCACTGAAATGGATTATATTCAGAAAATTACCCAGACAATGCCCCAAAGAGTGCCTTACTTTGACCCCCTAGCACAGACGCATAATTACTGTACCTAGAACTACAAACGCAAGACTAAAAGTTAAGGTAGCTTACATGAGCCACAGCATGAAGATCACACCTTCACATTGGATACATTTGTACAAAACGAAACCCATGCACTCCACAGCTCGGCAAACAGGAGCAGATTTAAGATGTCTGCAGCCACCGGCTGTGAACTTAGTCCTCATCAAAACCATCTTCATTTGAAAGCCCTGCATTAAAAGTTCTCCATCTTACACATTAAGTACAATAGGTGAAGAAAATGGAAGTTTGGCAGGATACAGGGGTAGAGTTAAGGTTCCTTGAATGGCCACAGATGTGCATTCCCACACTTCCAAGTTTTCTAATTCTAGGCTTTCAAACGCTGGTGATTTTATCAAAAGAACTCCCCGTTTAAAAAAAAAAAAAAAAAGGCCTGCAAAAGGAAGAGCAGGCTTATATCTCCTGAGATTACTACAACTTTTTCTCATGCCCTACGCTATTTTCTTCTGATAAAATGCATTTTGCAGAGATCAGTTCAAACTTGATCACCCTAATCTCCATTCATTGCTTGACAAAGTCTAAATGGTTAGTTTCAGAGAGCAGCCAAACAAAATGCCAAATGTTGTTCTGGGTATTTCTTACCTAGTGATCCAGCTGCATTCTCCTCTAACAGGCAAAGCTGCGGTTGACTGTTGGTAATTTGATCAAACTGATAAGGAAAGTTGGGACTGTCTAGTTACCTCAACACAGACTAACACGGCTGCTACTCTGAAACCTGACATCATCTTATATAATTTATGGCCAGTAGGCCACAGCTTTGACAGCACAATTGTACTAGGACCCTTTCAAGTTTTAGGGACAGATTCTCTGCTCCTGACCTCTGCCTTTGCAGCACTCAGGGAGTGCAAATCCACACAAGTCCCTTGCTCCCAAATCCCCATGTGGGAGAATCTTCAATGTGCAAAGAGTTCCTGTATCTCTCGCTTTGCAGCCCCAGTGCAAAGGAAACATCACTTGCAGGGAAGGGGAGAATCTTAAGGGGTAACACTCCAGCAGTCCCTAGCCTAAGGGTTACTCTAACTTGCATCAGGATTGAGGGAGAGAATCAGAGCGCCAATCACAGTTTTCTGACAGCACTCCTTCTGTTGCACCTAGCAGATCACCACAGCAGGAGTCTGCCCCTTAATCTGCCAGGATTAACTCCGGATTTATAGTATAGCACAGTTATTCTGAGGTCAGGAATATGTACATTTTATAACTGTGAACATCAAAATAAAGTTGCAGCCCTCTATTGTCCTGGCTGACATCTGTCCAGTTCTCATTCCAGTATGCCATCCAACAAGATACATTACTGGGGATGGCATGGTACATCTTGCACTGCTCCAGATGCAACTTTCTGTGAACAGGTCTGTTTCCAAAGCTGTCAGTCCAAGCGCTTTCCAAGGTTATCACAGACTAAATTGACATAAGAGGAAAAAGAGAACAGTTTAGCCAATGGCCATCTCAAACAGATTTACCTGACTGTGGGCCTGATCCAAAGCCCACAGAAGTCAAACTCCACTAACTTCAATGGGCTTTGGATCGGGTCCTATGCATGCAGTAACCCTGTGACAGGCTGTACCCCTATGGCAATCTTTTTACAAAGACCATGATATATTTTGTACGAAGTATGCCTTGTGAGGTATCATTTGACAACTCAATCTGCTGGACATTATTGTCCTGGTAAAATATGTGTATCAACATTGTATTGTAAAGTTATAAGATTCTACTGTATAACATTGCTGTAACATGCACCAAGTTTAGAAAGGTTTCAGAGTAACAGCCGTGTTAGTCTGTATTCGCAAAAAGAAAAGGAGTACTTGTGGCACCTTAGAAACTAGCCAATTTATTTGAGCATGAGCTTTCGTGAGCGACAGCTCACTTCATCAGATGCATACTGTGGAAACTGCAGAAGACATTATATACACAGAGACCATGAAACAATACCTCCTCCCACCCCACTCTCCTGCTGGTAATAGCTTATCTAAAGTGATCATCAAGTTGGGCCATTTCCAGCACAAATCCAGGTTTTCTCACCCTCCGCCCCCCCTGCCCCACACACACACACAAACTCACTCTCCTGCTGGTAATAGCTCATCCAAAGTGACCACTCTCCTTACAATGTGCATGATAATCAAGGTGGGCCATTTCCAGCATAAATCCAAGTTTAACCAGAACGTCGGGGGGGTTAAACTTGGATTTATGCTGGAAATGGCCCACCTTGATTATCATGCACATTGTAAGGAGAGTGGTCACTTTGGATGAGCTATTGCCAGCAGGAGAGTGAGTTTGTGTGTGTGTGTGTGTGGGGGGGGAGGCAGAGGGTGAGAAAACCTGGATTTGTGCTGGAAATGGCCCAACTTGATGATCACTTTAGATAAGCTATTACCAGCAGGAGAGTGGGGTGGGAGGAGGTATTGTTTCATGGTCTCTGTGTATATAATGTCTTCTGCAGTTTCCACAGTATGCATCCGATGAAGTGAGCTGTAGCTCACGAAAGCTCATGCTCAAATAAATTGGTTAGTCTCTAAGGTGCCACAAGTACTCCTTTTCTTTTTGCAAGTTTAGAAAAGCAGGCACAAACCAGTTCCTCAGAAACAAAAGACAAACCAGCAACTAAGCCAGGTAGCTTAAGTCAACAAAGTCAAGTAGATTATCACCTAGTTAAGTGACCATTCTTTGGCAGGAAGAAAGGTGTGAGAAATTTACATGAAATGGAAAACAGCTGGGAGTTCCCATGTAAACAGACTGGCTGCCCCCTGAATCCCAGCTGGAGATGATCTTCAAGGAGGGGAGAAAGGTACAAGAATAGAGAACACACACACACCACAAATTACCTCTCTCCTCCATTTCTCTATGCTCATGGCAGGAACAGCAGCGTAAAAGACACCCCAGGTTGGAGATCTGAGGGGACACAGCTGTCCATCTGTCCAGATTGTACCCTGGATAATGTCACAGGTCATCACCAAGGGCATGGCATACCCATATTCAGTATCCTACAAGTAACTGTTGCATAGACAAGGACTATGGGACAACTTGGATTCCCTATGTAGTTTCCAGGAAAATAGACTATAGCAACAAAGCCAAATATCTGGATATATTTCTTTGCATATTGTCTTTGAAGATCAAGCTATTAAATTGTCAGCAACAATCAAACAGAAGTGATACATACAGAATACACACATATATGCACTAATAATGATGTTCCGGTTTTCTTTTCTCTATATATTATTGATACTTACCCATCTCCGCAAAGTACTTTGAAACCTACAGATAAAAAGCTCCATGTAAGTTTAAGTATTATTAGACATTCAAAACTATATTCTAGACTTTCCCAAGTAAATGCAAGCATTCAACAAAAAATTTATGCTATATATCCATGGGAAAGTGCATCTTACCAGATAAGATGACAAAGACTTGTTCATAAATAGAAAAGAATACAGCAATTCATAAGAGTAACACAAACTTGTTATTTGACTCTGTATAAACCAAAAGAATTAAATTGTATTTGCATACCACTTTTTACCTCTTCTTATGAGGCTGTAACACACTTACTGCATCTTATCAAAGGCTAATGTTATTAACTCCATAGAAGTTCATTAATATAGGTAATTTTACAAGATTCAGTGCTCTACAACAGCAAAAAAGTGGGGGCAAGCCTCTTATTTAGGAACTTAAATTTAGGCATCCAGTTTGAAAATTCTGGCCTAATTCAGTAACACTGTCCTTTTCCCCACATATGTTTTGTATGTAGCTAATACTTCTAGGGAATCAGTCTTCCGTTAAACATTCAGAATGGAAATACATTGCATTTGAAAGTTCCATTTAAAAGGTTAAATACACCCAAACCAATGACAATGTAACCATGGGCAGAGACCAGAGCTGGAAAGTTGAAGCCACCACTGGCCTTTGTTCCCTGTGGTAGAGGATCAATTATGTTATTGAGATGTCAGAACTGTCACCTAGACACAGCAGAAGGTCAAACTACATGACCTAACAGCATCTCTAAGGCCTGACTGCCCTTTCAAATCTGTGCAAGTCAGGAGTAGCTCCATTAAAGTAAATGGCGTTTATATCAGTGTAGAGTGAGACAAGTATCACACTGCCCTCAATTTCTTATTTTAAATTCTCTGCTTGGCCTTTGGGGAGGGACAAAAGAGAAGGCAACAATATAATAAAATAATTTGTTAATGCCACCTAACAGCCAGAGCAGCATTCATTAGTATTTATTACAAATGATCTACCCTTTAAGGGGAATGGTCTGATCATGCTGATGTGAAAAAGGAGCAGAGAAACAAAGGGTTAACTCCTTGAGAATCCCATTTTTCTAGGTATGTATATCAAAATGATTGTAGTAGCTCAGTACCACATGCAAGTTCTAGCCAAGACTAGATCAAAAACAGAGGCTGATACAAGCTAATAAGTGAAAAGTTACCACAGCATTTACAAAGAAATACCGTGTAATTGCTTTCACTACAATATTAATCACTCTGGAGCACTGACATTTAGGCCTATAAAGCCTTATTCCCAGAGCTACCAGGCACAGGCATAGGGAAAAGACTGGCACTCTAACTGCTATATTAAAAGTTTTACTCAGCACTACTCTGACGTTTCACTTCATACTAAGAAAAATTAAGTTGTCTGACAAATTAAATTTTAATTACATTTTCATTTCTGAGTGTCGCTGACAGACATCAAGAGTGGTATTGTGCCAGTGCCATTACAGAAACCAAATAGGGGTGAAAAAAAAAATTTGTAAGCATGTGTCAGTCCTACCTGAAAATCACAGGAATGCCAGTGTATGTTGCTTATAATCTTTATGAAGTAGTAATGAATTTTACTTAAAAGTCCCCCACAATGGGAACAGCTCTCCCCTCCATGTTAACTTTCGGGTTGCAATGCAAAGCAAAATGCATGCAAGGTTCTGCTATTCTGCAGAAAGCTAAACACTGGTAGGCACTTCACCAAGGCATACAAATATATCACAGCTTTGAAGAGAACACAAAAATCATAACTTTATTAATGTACAAAAGGGTACAGTGTTGTTCACACTACAAATACGTTCCTCCTACAAAAATGCTCAACAACTATGTATTGCCAATTGAAAGAGGTCATCAGCCAATTTCTCCACTCTTGGGAGATTCTGGTATTATTACAGCCTTGCCTTAGAGAGGTGCTCTGTAAACCTCCTAGACCACCCCAGATTTTCCACCTCACATCTTCCAAAAGATGCACAGGTAATGGACAACTTTTCTTCTTGCCCATTTCTGGCAATTAAGCTTATGGTATTCTAACCCCCTTTTGCCCCCGTTCCAGACTCCCCTGCAAAGATAGGAAGTCGTGGAGTTACTGCCATTCCCAGTCTGATGACCTCTCGGTATAAGCCACTTAATAAACAAAATATACACGTGTTTTTGCCAGTATATCATCAACAGCGTTATTCTGATCCCTCTAAGCGATGACCTGTAGGCTTAACACAAACATAGGGAAAGAATTAGATGGCATTTCAACAGTCAGCTCTTTGATCGCTGTTCATATAAATGATCTCAAAACAAGAAAAAGTTTCTCACTGGATCCTCATGAGAAAATTTCCACTAGTTATGTGTTCTTTATAGAAGTACAAAATATATATATATATATATATATAATCCCTAGCTACTGGGCACTTAATATCTTTAACATACCCCTTGAGGTAGGTAAATGGGTAAATTTGAAATGGGACTACGAAATGGTAAGATGACTTGTTTGCAAGTCAGCATCCAAGCCAGTAGTGTGCTGGAAGGTAGAGTCCTTGAGTATAGCCATAAATTAATGTGTTATTTGAGGACAGATTGCAGAGCAACTGATGGTGAGGAAGCCAGTTTTGTCAAAACCTCTATTGCAGAGCAGGTTACAGAATCAGTGTCCTGTTACTAGTCAGACACTAGATGGAAGCTAGACTCAAATGAGAGTGGGATATATGATACTTGTAAGCCCTATGTACTTCTTAGTGTTAACACAGGATTAATCATGAAGAGCAAGAGAAAGACAAAAGGAAGTGCAGGTCCTCTACTCAAAAGGGAAGCAGAGCGAATAACTGACTACATCAAGAAGGCTGAGTGTTTAATGCCTATTTCACTTCAGTCTTCACTAAAAAGGTTAATAGTGTGAGTATCTGGTCACAATATTAACAAAGGGGAAGGAACGCAAGCCAAAATAGGGAAGAACATGTTAAAGAACATTTAGATAAGTTAGATGTATTCAAGTTGCTAGGTCCTGATGAAATTCATCCTATGGTACTTATGGAAATAGCTGAAGCAACCTCATAACCATAAGCAAATATCTTTGAGAATTCATGGATACTGGGTGAATAACTCAAAGACTGGAGAAGGGCAAAAATAGTACTTATCTTCAAAAAGGGGAACAAAGAGGACCCAAGGAATTATAGACCAGTTAGCCTAACTTGGATGTATGGAAAGATACTGGAACAAATTATTAACCAATCAATTTGTAAGCACCTAGAAAATAGCAGGGTTATAAGAAACAGCAAATCATGCCAAACCAACCTAATTTCCTTCTTTGACAGGGTTACTGGCCTAGTGGATGAGGGGAAGCATTAGACATGATATACCTTGATTTTTAGTAAGGCTTTTGACACAGACCCACATGACATTCTCATAAGCAAAACAGGTAAATGTGGTCTAGATTAAATTACTATCAGGTGAGTATACAACTGATTGAAAGACCATACTCAAAAAGAGTAGTTATCAATGGTTTGCTGTCAAACTGGTAGGGATGAATCTAGTGGGGTCCCACAGGGGTTAGTCCTGGGTCTGGTCACTATTCACGATTTTCATTAATAATATGGATAATGCTCTGGAGAACATGCTTATAAAATCTGCAGTTGACACCATGCTGGGAGGGGTTGCATGCACGTTGGAGGACATGATTAGAATTCAAAACGACTGAAACTGGAAAACTGGTTGAAGTTAGAATCCACAGGACATTAGATTTCTTTGCTTGTCTCACTCGACCTCTACCTTTTCATTCTGAATCAGCTGCAGTGCACTCTCTGCTACAGTTCCTTGCCATTCCTCCATTCACTGAAAGTCAAGTAATCTCCAGAGATGCAAGGTGGGTGAGGTAACATCTTTTATTAGATCAACTTCTGTTGGTGAGAATCTCTCTCTAACATCCTGGGATTGAAACCACTACAACGACACTGCATACAAGTAACCTTCAGCTCATAGCATGACTTCTTTTGACAGTTAGAAGTTTACATTTCCTGCACCTCCAAATCCAAACTGACTAAGATTTTCTGTTATTTAGTTACTGCTTACAGATCAACATCTTCCCTGCCACTCATTCACTGTTACGGTGGTAATACCACAGTGATATTAGAGGCTGCAAAGTACCCCAGTCATGTAAGCAAAAAAGAAGTGTCACTACCAAAGAAGAACAGAGGAAGACCGAAGCGCCAATGTGAAGATGGGGAAGGGGTAGCAGTGGGAGGGGGGCAGGAAGAGTCGGCAGTGTGCCAGGTATTCCCTGCTTTTGTTGGAGGATTCCTTGGAAGCCTCAGATGTGAACTTCAGTTCCCTCAGTCCATAATTTAAGATTTATTTAACTCAAACATCTGAGAATCTATTAGGAGAAAATAGAAGTGTTAACAAAAACAAGAAATATTAAACAGTCTGAATAAAAAATAAAAAAAAAACAACAAAAACCATAATTAACTGAGAAGAGGTAACCTGGCTTCTCAAATGTCCTATTCCTAATTTTTTCCAGTCACCCATCATCTTCTAGGGGTGACAGGGATCTACAGAAAATCATAGACTCATTTCTACTTCTCCTGCACCATCATATGTATATCAATCTCTTTAGGGTTTTTCTCCCATACATCATAAAGAAGCAGGAAAAAAAAACACACAAATGATCTTTAGACTACTTCTAAAGATAAAGCATCATTCCCTGGAACCCACAGTCTCTACATCTTGTGTGGCCGCGGAGTGCATTATACGACTCCGTAGGCTGAAGCCCTCCCACTCCACTCACCTAGTACCATGCTTCTAATGGGGGACTCTGGTGGGAAAAATGACAACATGGGCTCCATATTGTAGGCCTCTGCTTGTTCCTCAGATCCCAGGGGGTTGGGCTTAGGTTCCTTTATCCTATCAATGGATGGTACAAGGTTCACTAAGGTTGTGCGTTCCTGGCTAATGGGCTTCTTCTTTCTCTTGCGTTCTGTCACAAGTAAGGTGGGGGTCCAGGTGAGTTGCTGTGGCTCACTGCTCTTGCCACTTGTGTCTCTGCTCCCGCTTCCTAGGTCCTCCTCAGAGGAACAGTCCACTTCCAGTTCTGTTTTCACTGCAGCCACTGGGTCCAGCCAGCCACTCCCACCAGCTGCTACCACAGCCTTGAAGGCTTCCAAAAGGGCTGGACTATGGTTGTCATCAGACCAGGGCAATTTGAGGAGCTTGGCTTCCGGAGTCCCACACACAGGGATGTTGCTGTTGTGCCTCTTTGTGGCTGCCACTGAAACCACAGAACCCTTGAAGGCCAACGTGCTGCTGCTGATGGGCTCCACTGTAGATACAGATGTCCCACCGTTGTCTTGGCAGTGGGGTGGCCGCCCGTGACCCAAAAGAGGGAGACTGAATGATCTCATTGGCCACCTTCGCCGTGGAACCCGTTGCTTCGGAGCTTGAGGCCACGGACATCGCCAGAGGGCCTGAGGTCGCTGTGCTCCCACCGGCCACCTTCGCCTTAGGTTGCTGCTGTCGTCGCCACCGTCAACGTCCCACCAGCCACCTTCATTGTCGTCTCCGCTGTGCTCCAGTCAGCCTCCTTCGCCACAGGACCCAAACCCACCGCCACCCTCCCAGCGTCTACCTTTGCCATGGGGCCCGGGGCTACCAGGGTCCCGCTCCCACCAGCCACCTTCGCCATGGGGCCCGAGGTTGCCGCCGCTGCCACTGTCACGCTCCCACAGGCCATCTTCACCGAGGGGCCTGAGGCCGCCGCCGCCGTCTCCGCTGCGCTCCCGCCTGAGGCCGCCGTCAGTGCAGAGCCCGCCGCGCTCCCTGCCCCCCCCCCCAGCCATCTTGGGGGTCTGCCGCTCCAGCCGCCTTAGCCGTAGGGCCCGATGCCGCGCTCCCACCGGCTGCTTTCGCCTTGGGGGCGGCTGCCGTCCCTGGCCGCGGCCGCCATCCCCGCTGCCGGCCGCTCTCTTCCTGCGAGCGACTTGCCACGGCTGCGGGCACCGGCCCTGGAACGGGGCCCGGGCGGGGGGGACAGCGGGGCAGGCGCCAGACCCGGTTACCTTGACGCTGCCTGCTGCCGCCGCCTCAGCTGCCAGTCGCTGAAATCTGAGAGAAGGGTGAGAACTAGCCGCCGGGCGGGGCCGCGCCAGCCGCCTAATGACCTGGCTTGGATTTACACAGCCGCCTCTTACCCGTACCCAGCCCCACCATCTTGACATTGCACATGCGCACAACGCGCGGGGCGACATCGGCCGCTTCCATCCGGCCGTTTCTTGGGCCCCCACATGGCAAGTATGAAGTTTAGAGCGATAATATCGGGGAACCATCCAGATGTTACGCATGCGCAAAGCACGAGCATCAGTCGCCAGCCCCGAGTAGGCGCATGCGCAGAGCGCGCGTTAGGCGTTGTAGACGGCTCGCGCGCGGCGCGTAACGGTTCTCGCAGCCCCTTCCGGAGGCAAGACATATTTTCCCTGTCCGGGGCGGCTCTGCGAACACGCATGCGCTGTATTGGATTTAGAGGCTGTTCTAGTTGAGTCGTTGTCCTGCTGCGCAGGTTGACTACGGAATCCTGCCAGGGACAGTTCAAGCCAAAGTTACAACTGAGTTGGGAAAGGGGAGCCAGTCACTCCCTGGGATCGCTGAGAGTGCCTTCGGTCGTCCCACCGTGCATACCTGCCCCCGACGGCATCTTCCCACAGCCTGTGTGATGTTGGGGCGCCCCGGGGCCTCGCAGGTCGGGGTTACCATGGCAGCAACTCAGGATCTTAGGCGGGGTTGCCATGATGACAGATCAGGGAGTCTGTTCCCATGGCAGCCAAATGGGGTCTTAGCTGGGGATTCCCATGGCAGGGTCTCGCTGCGGCGCTTAAGCAGCCTGCACGTTTAGTCTGTGTGTTTGCCATCGCCCTGTGTACAATCAGTTGTTTCCCCTACCTGTTATTGTCATTCATCGTTTATATAGTGGCAGGGCCTAGGAGCCTCAGCTGTGGATCAGCTTCCCAGTGTGCTAGGTGCTGTACAAACATAACCAAAGGAGGGTTCCTGATGCAAAGAGTTTATACAGTCTCAGTATAAAATGAGATCAGCTAATCAGTTTTTTGCTTGCTGAAAACTCCTTATCAACATCAGCACAGGAGCTGAAAAAAACATATAATTTTTTAATGAGCTAAAAAAGAATTGGGGCACACGCTTCAAAGTGGTTGCTATAGTGGAATCTTGGTTCTTTTAAAATTTAAATTAAAAGTGCCGTTTAACTTGTCATACCCTACACAGATACATTTCAACAGTAATATCCAAATTAAAGGTGGCCTGTAGATTTAAAAAGAAAAAATCTGTAATATTGAATCCGCAACCTGTCAAGTGGGACTTGCCATTCGTTGAACTCCCATCTCTGGATTTCAGGGCTTGCCAAACAGGAAAATTTACCAGCATTACTATACTGGTATAATTATACTGCTATATTTATACCAGTCTAGCTCCCTGTGAGGACACTTATTCAGAATAACAGTGGCCTCTTTTTAGATTTATTTTAGGAGAAAAAGGCTACTGGTATTCCTAATAAGAGTGTCTACATGGGGAAATATACAGTGTAACTATAGTACTATAATTATACTGGTATAGTAATGCTGGTAAATTGCCCAGTGTAAACACGCCCTTTTTGATGGATCAGAAGTGGAGAGGAAACTTGTAGTCAGTTTATTAAAGAAGGGAATTTCCCCAAAGTTTTTGTACCTTCAAATTCTTGCACACAAAATGACTTTGTGTTTCTCTTCTACAAGACAAACTAATATCAGATAGATGTACAAAAGGCTTATCTTTATTAAAGCTTTCTAAGAAAGTACACTGTTTTCCCCACATGTTAAGAAACTGAACATTAAACCGGCAGAGGGTTCTAATCTCACAATCCCTTTAACTATTATGCTCTTAGCGTAGCTCAGGAAGATCGTAGTATAATTGGCTTAATTTCTTTTTACATTGGGTCTTGTCAGCTCTGGCAAATTTCTGAGAATCTTTCATCATTACACAACCACTGCCGAAATTTTAACCACCCATGTCACATACCTCTAAACAGGGTTGGACAGGACAGGGGTTAAAATGCCAGCAGATGGTCTACACTGGTGCTTCTACCATTGCTGTCATCAGTGATAGCGTATTGTTAGGAGATTTTCCGAACTCCGCCAGTGTAGAAGCAGCCCAAATGTAAAGGAAAAAAATTTAAAAAGCCAAAGGAATAATCCTGAAACTACAGGATTTTCAGACATGTAAGTCAAATTAACCATGATTTCATGGTAAAGCCAGCATGATCTCGTAGTAAATATGCCTGCAAGCAAGTCCTCCACCCAAGTGAAAAAAATTAGAAAGTAAGATTTTTTTAAAAGTTATATGTAATTGTGTCATGGAATATACATGGTGAAGAATTGTTCTGCTAGTGAGATGGTTTCTCCAACCTAAAGGGCTAATGTAAAGAAATCTTAGTTTTTCAAGCGATTATTCCTTAGAATGGGGCGGGGCTGGAAGTTGTTAAATGGATGTTGGGTGACATCAACAGTGTCATAAACTAGAAAATGTCTCCTGATGTCAAGGTTTTAAAAGATTTCATAAAAGAAGAGAGAAACTGGTGCATACCAAATATATGGAATGCACTGCAATTTTCTTGGTGAACTAAAAGTGCCAACGTCTGGCAAGAGCTGTTCAAAATACTTATCATGAAATAAAACACATTTGAAACATGCCCTTTTTTGTGAATTCACAGCGCTTCCATGAAATGGAGTTACCCACAAACATTCTGCATCAAGGAAAATTTAATCCAAGTTTGGCATGGTAATTCCTCTTAATAATTTCACTGCATCTTTTGGCAGTTTATTTACTAGTGGGTTTTGTTACTTGGTTGAAGTTACGTGGTATTTCTTCAGGCCACCTGATAGGCAGAATCTATGCACTCAAGAGGATCATCAGGAACCATCTTGACTTGTTTTGGAAGGGTAGGGTGTGGAGGAGGAAGGGACATGCCCTTAAAGGATTCGAGAAACTGGAACAGATTCCTAATCCAAGTACCAATGCATTCGATTTGGCTATTTATTTAATAAACAATGGGATTGGCAACCAGAGTGTGAGAGAGCTGTTTAATTCAGCACCTCTTGATGCTGATGCCCCTTTATTAATTATTATTTGTATCATGATAGCGCTCAGGAGCTCTAATCATGGACCAGGCCCCATTGTGCTAGAGGCTGCACAAACACAGAACAAAGACAGTTTCTTCCCCAAAGAGCTTACAATCTGCAACAGGTGTTCCTGCCTGCTGCCATTGATGTTGGTGGCTCTCCTTTCTTGGCAGAGCATGGCTGGGCAGCCAGCAGCAGGACTGAATACCCCATTTTATACGTGTTCTTGAAGCGTGCTCTGTTCCTTTCATGGGACCCAGGACCATGGCTAGGATCCACATTAAATATTACATTACAAGCCCATTTTTCATCCAAGGAATAGTATTTCCAAACTTTGGACATTCTGCCCTTTCTCCTCCACCATCAGCTACATCACCTGACCTGACTCCCATCCTCTACCTACAACTACAACCTACCTTAACTATATCTAAAACCTGCTGTCCCTCACTCTCCCCTGGTCTACACTAGGACTTTAGGTCGAATTTAGCAGCGTTAAATCGATGTAAACCTGCACCCGTCCACACGATGAAGCCCTTTATTTCGACTTAAAGGGCTCTTAAAATCGATTTCCTTACTCCACGCCTGACAAGTGGATTAGCGCTTAAATCAGCCTTGCCGGCTTGAATTTGGGGTACTGTGGACACAATTTGACGGTATTGGCCTCCGGGAGCTATTCCAGAGTGCTCCATTGTGACCGCTCTGGACAGCACTCTCAACTCAGATGCACTGGCCAGGTAGACAGGAAAAGAACCGCGAACTTTTGAATCTCATTTCCTGTTTGGCCAGCGTGGCAAGCTGCAGGTGACCATGCAGAGCTCATCAGCACAGGTGACCATGATGGAGTCCCAGAATCGCAAAAGAGCTCCAGCATGGACCGAACGGGAGGTACGGGATCTGATCGCTGTATGGGGAGAGGAATCCGTGCTATCAGAACTCCGTTCAAGTTTTTGAAATGCCAAAACCTTTGTCAAAATCTCCCAGGGCATGAAGGACAGAGGCCATAACAGGGAACCGAGGCAGTGCCGCGTGAAACTGAAGGAGCTGAGGCAAGCCTACCAGAAAACCAGAGAGGCGAACGGCCGCTCCAGGTCAGAGTCCCAAACATGCCGCTTCTATGATGAGCTGCATGCCATTTTAGGGGGTTCAGCCACCACTACCCCAGCCGTGTTGTTTGACTCCTTCAATGGAGATGGAGGCAACACGGAAGCAGATTTTGGGGACGATGATGATGATGAGGAGGAGGTTGTAGATAGCTCACAGCAAGCAAGCGGAGAAACCGGTTTTCCTGACAGCCAGGAACTGTTTCTCACCCTGGACCTGGAGCCAGTACCCCCCGAACCCACCCAAGGCTGCCTCCTGGACCCGGCGGTCGGAGAAGGGACCTCCGGTGAGTGTACCTTTTAAAATAGTATACATGGTTTAAAAGCAAGCATGTGAAAGGATTACTTTGCCCTGGCATTCGTGGCTCTCCTGGATGTACTCCCAAAGCCTTTGCAAAAGGTTTCTGGGGAGGGCAGCCTTATTGCGTCCTTCATGGTAGGACACTTTACCACTCCAGGCCAGTAACACGTACTCGGGAATCATTATAGAACAAAGCATTGCAGTGTATGTTTGCTGGCATTCAAACAACATCCGTTCTTTATCTCTCTGTGTTATCCTCAGGAGAGTGAGATATAATTCATGGTCACCTGGTTGAAATAGAGTGCTTTTCTTCAGGGGACACTCAGAGGAGCCTGTTCCTGCTGGGCTGTTTGCCTGTGGCTAAACAGAAATGTTCCCCGCTGTTAGCCACGGGGAAGGAGGAGGGTTGAAGGGGTAGCCACGCGGTGGGGGGAGGCAAAATGCGACCTTGTAACGAAAGCACATGTGCTATGTATGTAATGTTAACAGCAAGGTTACCCTGAAAGAGTGTAGCCACTGTTTTATAAAATGTGTCTTTTTAAATACCGCTGTCCCTTTTTTTTTCTCCACCAGCTGCATGTGTTTCAATGATCACAGGATCTTCTCCTTCCCAGAGGCTAGTGAAGATTAGAAAGAAAAAAAAACGCACTCGAGATGAAATGTTCTCCGAGCTCATGCTGTCCTCCCACACTGACAGAGCACAGACGAATGCGTGGAGGCAAATAATGTCAGAGTGCAGGAAAGCACAAAATGACCTGGAGGAGAGATGGCGGGCTGAAGAGAGTAAATGGCGGGCTGAAGACAGGGCTGAAGCTCAAATGTGGCGGCAGCGTGATGAGAGGAGGCAGGATTCAATGCTGAGGCTGCTGGAGGACCAAACCAGTGTGCTCCAGTGTATGGTTGAGCTGCAGCAAAGGCAGCTGGAGTACAGACTGCCACTACAGCCCCTGTGTAACCAACCACCCTCCTCCCCAAGTTCCATAGCCTCCACACCCAGACACCCAAGAACACGGTGGGGGGGCCACCGAACAACCAGCCACTCTGCCACAGAGGATTGCCCAAAAAAAAAGAAGGCTGGCATTCAATAAATTTTAAAGTTGTAAACTTTTAAAGTGCTGTGTGGCATTTTCCTTCCCTCCTCCACCACCCCTCCTGGGCTACCTTGGTAGTCATCCCCCTATTTGTGTGATGAATGAATAAAGAATGCATGAATGTGAAGCAACAATGACTTTATTGCCTCTGCAAGCAGTGATTGAAGGGAGGAGGGAAGGGTGGTTAGCTTACAGGGAAGTAGAGTGAACCAAGGGGCGGGGGGTTTCATCAAGGAGAAACAAACAGAACTTTCACACCGTAGCCTGGCCAGTCATGAAACTGGTTTTCCAAGCTTCTCTGATGCGTACCGCGCCCTCCTGTGCTCTTCTAACCGCCCTGGTGTCTGGCTGCGCGTAACCAGCAGCCAGGCGATTTGCCTCAACCTCCCACCCCGCCATAAACGTCTCCCCCTTACTCTCACAGATATTGTGGAGCACACAGCAAGCAGTAATAACAGTGGAAATATTGGTTTCGCTGAGGTCTAAGCGAGTCAGTAAACTGCGCCAGCGCGCCTTTAAACGTCCAAATGCACATTCTACCACCATTCTGCACTTGCTCAGCCTGTAACTGAACAGCTCCTGACTACTGTCCAGGCTGCCTGTGTACGGCTTCATGAGCCATGGCATTAAGGGGTAGGCTGGGTCCCCAAGGATACATATAGGCATTTCAACATCCCCAACAGTTATTTTCTGGTCTGGGAATAAAGTCCCTTCCTGCAGCTTTTGAAACAGACCAGAGTTCCTGAAGATGCGAGCGTCATGTACCTTTCCCGGCCATCCCACGTTGATGTTGGTGAAACGTCCCTTGTGATCCACCAGAGCTTGCAGCACTATTGAAAAGTACCCTTGCGATTTATGTACTCGGCGGCTTGGTGCTCCGGTGCCAAGATAGGGATATGGGTTCCGTCTATGTCCCCACCACAGTTAGGGAATCCCATTGCAGCAAAGCCATCCACTATGACCTGCACATTTCCCAGGGTCACTACCTCTGATATCAGCAGATCTTTGATTGCGTGGGCTACTTGCATCACAGCAGCCCCAACAGTAGATTTGCCCACTCCAAATTGATTCCCAACTGACCGGTAGCTGTCTGGCGTTGCAAGCTTCCACAGGGCTATCGCCACTCGCTTCTCAACTGTGAGGGCTGCTCTCATCTTGGTATTCATGCGCTTCAGGGCAGGGGAAAGCAAGTCACAAGGTTCCATGAAAGTGCCCTTACGCATGCGAAAGTTTCGCAGCCACTGGGAATCGTCCCAGACCTGCAACACTATGCGGTCCCACCAGTCTGTGCTTGTTTCCCGAGCCCAGAATCGGCGTTCCACAGCATGAACCTGCCCCATTAGCACCATGATGCATGCATTGGCAGGGCCCATGCTTTCAGAGAAATCTGTGTCCATGTCCTGATCACTCACGTGACCGCACTGATGTCGCCTCCTCGCCCGGTATCTCTCTGCCAGGTTCTGGTGCTGCATATACTGCTGGATAATGCGTGTGGTGTTTAATGTGCTCCTAATTGCCAAAGTGAGCTGAGCGGCCTCCATGCTTGCCTTGATATGGCGTCCGCACAGAAAAAAGGCGCGGAACGATTGTCTGCCGTTGCTCTGACGGAGGGAGGGGCGACTGACGACACGGCTTACAGGGTTGGCTTCAGGGAGCTAAAATCAACAAAGGGGGTGGCTTTACATCAAGGAGTATTTCAGGCAGGACTTCACGGAGGGTTCCAATAAGAAATGGTGCACCTAAGTTATTGTTCTTATTGGAACAAGGAGGTTAGCCTGGCCTCTGATTGATACATGGCTAGATTTACCTCGCTGCACCTTCTCTGTGAGTGACTGCAGTGTGACCTAGAGGAATGAGTCCCCTAGACAGGGGAGGGGGGGAAGCAAATGAGTACAAAACAAATCTGGTCTATTTCTTGTTTTGATCCACTCCATCTATCTTTTACATCTTTGGCTGGCAGCAGACGGTGCAGAAGGACTGCATGCCATCCACATCTCATGGCTGCTCGGCAGAAGATGGTACAATACGACTGCTAGCCATCCTCATCTCTTGCCTGCCCGGCAGAAGATGGTACAGTACGACTGCTAGCAATCCGTATCGCCTGCCTGCTCACCAAAAGACGGTTCAATAGGACTGACTGCAGGACTAAAGAGAATTATCTGGTCAAGCCACTCCAAATTTAGTCCCTGCGCCCATGTCTGCCCAGGCGCTCCCAGCCGATGTGGCCAGGAGCACCTCGGACACGACGAGGACGGCTACCAGTCGTACTGCACCGTCTGCTGCCAGAAGGCAATGGGTTGCTGCTACTGTGTAGCAATGCCATACCGCGTCTGCCAGCACCCAGGAGACATACGGTGACGGTTACCTGAGCGGGCTCCATGCTTGCCGTGGTATGGCGTCTGCACAGGTAACTCAGGAAAAAAGGCGCGAAACGATTGTCTGCCCTTGCTTTCACGGAGGGAGAGAGGGAAGGGGGGCCTGACGATATGTATCCAGAACCACCCGCGACAATGTTTTAGCCCCATCAGGTATTGGGATCTCAACCCAGAATTCCAATGGGCAGCGGAGACTGCAGGAACTGTGGGATAGCTACCCACAGTGCAACACTCCGGAAGTCGACGCTAGCCTCGGTATTGTGGAAGCACTCCGCCGAGTTACTGCACTTAGAGCATTTTCTGTGGGGACACACACACTCGAATATATAAAACCGATTTCTAAAAAACCGACTTCTATAAATTCGACCTTATTCCGTAGTGTAGACATACCCTCTGTTTCACAAAGGACTATGACATAGATGTAAATCAGTTTCTCACTGTGCTTCCCATCCTCTTGCCTCTGTCCAAAGATCATTTTCAAAGATGGCCACTGTCTTGCTTCCACTCAAAAATTCCAATGGAAGTGGCATTTTCTGCTGCTGCATAATGCAATGAGAAAAACAGCAGTTGCCCCATACTTTTATGGAGAAGCAAAATTGGGGGTGGGGGGAATGAAATTTCCCAAACTGAAATGGAAAAGTTATTTGCATGAAACATAGCTTGACTGAACATTCTGTTCCACGTAGGTTTCGATGGTGATTATAGATGCAGACTATGCCCATAAGCAGATAGTTGGTCTGGGTGACAGCAAAAATGCACTTACAGAAGTTATTCACATACTGTGCCTGGCAGCTTTATCCTCCTTCAGAATCACTGGTTTCCAGCCAAAAAACTTTAATGAATCATCTGACATCAGCCCTATACTGTCTGAATAATCGATAGGCATGATCCTGACTGACCATATATGCTGCATTTGGGAGCATATTCTCCACCGTGGGAAAACAGACACGTGCTAGCTCTGCTTGAACCAGTGCACCAAGAATAGCAGCGTGGCTGTGGTGGCCTGGGCAGCGGCTCCGTCTAGCTGCCCGAGTATGTACACAGGGGGTTGAACATGATTGTACTTGTGTGGCTAGCCCAAGCTGCTTCCTGTACCACAATGGCTCAAGCTCCTGTGTGTGTCTGTCTATGAACACTGGGAAACACACTCTCAGCTGCAGTGCAGATATACCCTAAAAGGGGTAACCTCCCATTTTATCCACGTTAGAGTGTGCAGCCGCTGCTGTTTTACTTTACTCTGATTCCTTCAGACACCAAGATGATGGAGGATCAGAGTGAAGAAATACATACTTACAAAGCATACTCAGAATACAGTTACAGATTTCACCATGCTGTATGGTCTGACTCTTACTAACTGGTCAGAAAGAGTTGAAATATCTCTGCATGAGATGAAAATACAGCAATAGCTCCTTTAGGAAAACCAGTAAAGATAGAAATTACAAGTCTTTGAAATATTTGAAAGAGGCCTATTCATTTTTGCAAACCATCCAAAATATGAAACTGATTATGCATTTAGTGACAGTTTTATAGCACTAGTCTCCAGTGTCTCATATGATAAGGGCTGAGGCAGCTGGCAGGCCATAGACTGTAATGGCTGTGAGCCTACATGTCATAAAGTTTAAGCTGCTCCTTCATGTCTCCTTCCGTCATCTCTCCAAATGTCTCACTGTTTTCCTTCATGAGCCTGAAGATGGCAGTCAGCTGCTCTCTCTGAACCCTGTCAAGAAGAAAAGTAAAAAGAGAAATAGCCACCCTCCAAGAGGCACTGTGAACAGCAATGATGGAGTCAAATGACACATGACGCTCACCTTACGAGTCCTGTTGACTTCAGCAAATCTGTGCATATAAAATGAGCAGAATTTGACCCTTAATACCCACTCCTCAAACACACACACACACACACAGTCCAACTCTTTAAAGTAACCAGCTTTATTCCCAGACATACCCCCTTATTTTGAGCTTTCTTAGGGCTTGTCTACAGACACTCTTCTATTCTGAAATAAGAGTGTCTACACATGGAGTTATTCTAGAATTGTTATTGCACTTTAAATATTACCTTAATCCAAATTAACTTTCAAGTGTACACAAGCCGTTAGTCTGCTACTGGGAAATGAGTGATCAGAGAGAGAAGTCATTCTTGCATTGGGGTTTACTAGGTTTTTTTTCCAGTGTTGAGTAATGGGCATCAGGAGTTGGCCCTGAACCTAGCACATGGACATATTCTGTTATATCTACCCCTAATTTTTTTTAAGGGGAAGGAGGAGAGGGTTCTGTTTCATTGCTAGCTGGGATTGGTTACAGGACTGATGTGGTCTCACTGCAAGTCTCCCTGAGAGTGCAGCGAGTTCCCCACCTATTACATGCAGTCCTTGGTTCTCCTGCCTCAGATTATGAGAACTAAAGGAGCCGTGGTGTTATGACTGTAACAAGGGCGGAACAAGGCTTTGCTATTATATAAACCTCAAAGCTCTTACTGCCCTTCTATCCCACATAAGAACAGAGTCTGTTGACCCACAGCAGGTCAGAAATGCAGAGCTGGTGCTGTCCACACAGATTCAAACGCCCCCAGCACCACTGGTCCCTGGTGCAGGCTGCTGACAGTGGGTGGAGGATTGGCCTTCAGTCTCTGCGGTCCCAAAACCCACCTTCCCAGGATTCTCTGCTTCTGGCACAGCCAGCCCTCCTGTCTATAGTAGTAGATTCTCATTCCAGTGGCCAAACCTATCCTCACAAGTCTCTTCCTTACCTCCCAGATATTCTGGCACCCTGACCTGGTAATAAACTCTAGGGACTCTTTTGCCGCAGCTGAGACAGACAACGGGAGAGTGTGCAGCAAGAGTTTTCGCTAACAAATGAAAGCATCAGAATTTTGTTTCACTCCATGGTGACGATACCACCATGGAATGAGTCTCTGGAGGTTGTGCTGGGAAGCAGATATTGCAAGTGGCAATCTCACAAGCACAGGAAGATGGACGATCAGAACTCAGCTGGTGTTAAGCTATGTCTTCACTGCACTAAAAGCTGTGATTTTACATCAAGATAGCGATATCAACGTAAAATCCTAGGGGAGACAAGTCCATATAGCTAGATGAGGTTGATCCTATAACCCCCACCCCCCAACCTGGGGTTAACCTCAACTAGATACAAAGAGTTAAAAATTACCTGTGTTTTGTCTCCACTAGGATTTTACCTCAAAATAGGTATCTTGAGTTAGTTACTTTGATGTAGAAATACACCTTTTTTGGTAGTGAAATCACAGTTTTAGGAATATGGCTGCGTAAAACTTAAGCGGGAAGCTGCTTAGAAGTTGTGGCGATGAGAGTGGTATAAATGTCTAGAGCAGACAAAAGACCTGAAAAGCTCTGTGTAGCTCAAAAGCTTGTTTTTTTCACCAATAAAAAAATATTACCTCACTCCCCATCTCTCTCTAGAGAAGACAGAAGCAGTTTCAATTTGTGGGGGAAACAACAGAGCAGAGCATTGGTCCATCAACAGCAATCCCACTGGGAATTTTGCATTAAAAACCAAAATCAATGGTAGATGAGCCATTGCCACAGGTGAACAGAAGAGCTTTCAATCTGGGAAGCACAACCTGGAACTGGAAGGGTTGTGCATGTTCCTTACACCTACTGATAAACATTAATAATACCAATCAGAAGTGGTGACAAGTGAGCTGCATTTCCCACCCTGCTTTAACTTTGGTGCTATCAACATTGTGGGGGAAACAGAATTCTGAAAAAACAGAGCTTAGCAAACAGAAGCAGCTATTGTGCCAGTTACTTTGTTCTACAATCAGAATGCATGTGGCTGTAGCATTTAAAGACTATATATATTCTGTTAATGAGCTAGGATCTTTTGTTATGAAATGAAATCTTCTCTGTACAGCCTTGGCTTGGAGCAGTCGTTATACCCCTGCTGAACCAATGGAATCTGAAGTCTATAACCCTCAAGAATCCCATTGTCTCTCATATACTTTTCTCACTTACAAGAGAATGCATTAAACTGACCTTTTCAGAATATGAAAAAGGAAGGGAGACACAGCAGTTACAGATCCTCATATTTTATTTCAGAACTTCATTGGATTCCAGGGGGGCATATCTCCTATCTAGTCTGGAGAAATTCAGTATGTGTTCTTCTCCTTACACAGGCACCGTTGAAGTTTATTCCAGCTGGGAACAAAAATTAGTTCTGGTTCTTTTCCTTATTGTTCCCAAGCAGCTTAATAGATTGTGAAAAAGTCTAAACACAATTGCAACTTTCAGTGACCTATACTTCTTTTCTAGTATGGTCACAGAAAAGTCTCAATGTGTTTTTTTGTTTGTTTTTGTTTTTACCCAATATCAATGCACTTGGCTTTCACTCATCACTGACAAAATAGGCTAAGGCTGGGATTTTCAAAACAGCTGAACTCTTGTTGAAAATCAATGGTAGTTCTGCTCCTTATTCCCTTAGCTCTTTGAAAATTTCAACTCAAGATTTTCAAAAGTAATTAATGATTGGAGGCACCTCACTTGAGACCCTGCAAATGGACCTGATTTTCAGAAAGTGCTGAGGACTCACCTTCTGAAAATCAGGTCTCTGTACAGGGTTTTGGCTACCCAAAAATGGAGGCTCCCAAAATAACCTTGTCACATTTGAAAATCTTGGCCAAAGATTCTGCAATTGGAACTTCACGAATACTACAGATGGTGCAGGAGCAAAAACAGAGTCCAGCTCATCTCTCCCAGCTTCACTGACTCTGCCTGGCTCCAACAGAAGTAAAATCAAAAGGTTTCAGGGTGAGATTTTTAACAGTGTTGGCCGAACTCTGCTCCCACTGAAGTCAATGGAACTAGTTGTGGAGTAAGATATCCTTATTCACAGAGTGACATCACAGTCTGGCCCTCTGTCACTAAAGTCCTGACTCTGGGCACGTATAGGAAGCAAATCTGCTGAGTAAGACTTTAAAATTTCTCTGTTGCTTTCCACAGCAGTAACACCCTGTAAAAGCACCATGATTATTTCGCTGCAGCAAGGACAGTGTCTTCCTCCACATTCTGTGTGACACCAAGTCCTTATTGGGTATTTTCACGTGAATAAGAATTCCCTGCTAGTGCAGCAAAAGCAGTGAAAGATATGGGATGCAGATGTAATGCTATAAATCATCACTAGAGAAGTTCTGTGGAAGAGAGAAGGAGGGAAAAAAAGCAAAAGGTATAAACAACACAATGCCCATCCAAATAAACTATTCAAAGATTTATTGAACTGAACAAAGGCAATTTACAGTTTCAAGCCACTAGAATTACAGTCCTGTGTATAAGAGCCACCTTCAGATGAAAAAAAAAAAAAAAAAAAAGGTAAAAAAATACCCAGACAGCCTTTTTGTTGTTGTTAAAGAAATAGCTTAACTCGCTGCCACTTGCAAAATCTGGGCTCAGCTATAGACTTTGCTTGCTTGATGTACATTTTGCCGTATAACTTAAACATATCTGTATATAAGGCATTCTTTGCATAGTCACATGCTTGGAACGTCAAATCTGCCAGCCAGCACGAATTGGAAACAGAATGGCCAGTCACATTGGGTACCTTGAAGCAGAGCGGCCTTGTGTGTCTAGGATTCATAAGCAATCCATTTAATGTGCTAGCAGTTACCGGCTTGGAAGGGGCAGCTTCCTTAAAGCTGAAGCCTCCGGCTGTTTGTGAAATGAGCCCTTTTTACAGACAAACATTCTCCAAACCCAGGCGCGGCAAAGAACGACCGAGTAAATAGTTTCAAGTATTGTCTGTGTAGGAATAAAACAAAGCAGCCTGGTTTTTTATATGCTTGAAGCTTTAGCTAAGAGGCGGCCTTTCCACAAAAATGAAGGGAAGCTTGGAGGACAGATTCCAACTATGCTGTAATGCAGCAGGACAGGAAGTGATATCACCAGAGGACTCAAAACCCTCTTCCCATGGAAGGACTTCCAGCAAATCAGCCCGACCCTATTTGAAGTTAGATCTCAATTGAGCGGGTGCTGATGCCCAGCAGAGCTCATCTCCTGTATATGACAAGGCTCAGAAGAGGAGCTGAACCTCGGGCAAAGCAGGCAGGCCAGCAACAGTGACAAAAGGGTATGGGAAAGAGAAAGGGGTATTAGAACAGTAAGGTGGTGTGGAGAAGGGAACGGGAAACGCTGTTGGCACCCCCAGAAACTCATCATAATCCAGAGGGAGCCCTCAATTTCAGGGCTACCTCCTCCACCCTCTCCCTCTTGGGAACTGGAGCAGGGAAAAGTAAATCCAGGCACTACCAATCGTTAACAAAGCTTGGGCTCCTCAACGGGAAGTCACCACAAACAGTAGAGCTACAAGACAAACCAATCTCACTTCTCAGGTCTGCCCTCTACCTAAACTAAAGGATCAGCTCTCTGCTGAAATGATTACAGAGCAAGATTAAGTCAGTCCAGCGATAGTCTGTCAAACCCCGCCCCCCTCCCAATGCTAAACAATGTTTTAAATCTCCAGCTGTAATTTTCAAAGCTAAAGGATGAGTTTGGTCCCTGGAGGAAATGGCTTGGATACTCGGGTACAACATCTGGGTAGATCTAAGATAACATCTGGCTTTTGCCCATTTCCTCTAAAGGAACAATACAGATTTCAGGGTAGGGCAGACAGAGTGTGATTAACACAACTCAGTAGACTTACTGAATTTTTGGTGTTCACTCTGGGTTCTGTTTGGGGGGTCTCAGTCCCATATTA